TACTAGTAAGTAGTATACTACTACTACGAGTAGTTAGTACGTACTACAAACTAACCTACTACTACGTAGTAAGTTTAGTAGTCTCGTACTACTATATTAACTTACCTACTATATATATATATATATATATATATATATATATATATATAACTATGTAATCAATATTATTAGATAAAAAGAATTCAGATACATACTTTGTCTAAAAGTAATCACTTTCTTTAAATAAGAAAAAATTGAAAAATAAATTCAACATTGTCCTTTTTTATATAGATTACAAGAATCACAATCATCATCATCATCATAGCCTTTTCCCAATTAATTGGGGTCGGCTACACGAATCCTGGTCCACCATTCTGCTCTATTTAAAGTCATACCCTCAGTGAGGTTATAAGTCCCCGTATCTTTTCGGACTACTTCCAACCACGTCACTTTGGGCCTACCCCTTGCACTTTTCAATCCTTCCACTTGAACTAACTCACACCACCTAACAGATGCTGCACTGGGTCGACACCACCTATGGCCAACCCACCTAAGTCTACTATCTCACATCTTATCGCCTATTGGTGCCACACCTAAACTTTTCCTTTCATTTATTGTTTCATAGTTTTGTAATCTTTTTATATTTTTGATATAGATTATAAAAATATGAAACAATAAATGAAAGGAAAAGTACACAAAAGACCATTTACTTTTGATACAAGATCAAAATCATTGTTGTCTGTTAGATTTCAAATCAGGTGGTTATGTGTGTGTTATGAACTAAACTCAAAGTTCAAAAGAAATATTTCTCAAACTTTGTGACATACCCCAAGCCATCAAATTTGATGTCTCATGGCTAATAGTCATTGTGGCCTCCTTGTGACAAAGATAAATGGTCTCATATACAATACCTAAATGAAATAATGCCCAGATCAATTAAAAATTGAAAGGTCAATTGGCTACCTCCTCCTCTGAGCTCTCTAAAATTCAATATCACAGGCTGCTCTCCAGGAAACCAAGGGCCTTTGGGATATAGGGACAGCCTAGCAAATTGCAATGCCCAGATTTATCCTCCGCAAGTTTCGTAAGAGACATTTCTTCCACCACTACTGAAACTATTGCGCTATTAGAGGGCCAACGAGAACCATTGGTTTCTTCAGAAACTCTCACAGTGGAAGGGAACTCTAGGAATGCATTATCATGGACAAATTGAAACACCAAGCCCCACGGAGATAGCCTGCTATTATGACCATATATTCTCACTTTGCAGGGGAGCATGGGTCACTTTCAACCATATCCAAAGGAGCAGTCGCATCTAGTGTCTAACCAAACGGTCTGCCTAGCGCCTAGGAGCCCAAGGGGCCCTAGGGTGTTGGGCGTCCCTCCTTGGGCGCCTGCCCAGGCGGGTGCCACGCCCAGCACCCAGTTCTAGGAGGGCTCCTAAAGCCGTGGACCCCATTTCGTCTTTAAAGTAGTCCTTAAGTTCATATTATGTAATTTAAGCCCCCAAAATTTGTTTTAAAAGAATATTGGGGGTATTTTTTCTTTTGGTATGTTAACGAAGTATTGGGGGTATTTTAAACCCCAAAGTTAAAAAAAAAAAAACTTTGTAAACCCTCAAATTAAAAAAAAAACTTTGTAAACCCTCCATCAATTGATTACACCTTTTTCTATGAATCAAAAAAAAATTTGAGATTTGAAGAAGCATCCAAAAGCTTATATGTTCTCATTGGAATTGTTGGTTTTAATTCTGACTTATGATGATTGGAGAAATGAAGATGTCCTCACTCTTCTTTTGTATTTAATCTTTATTGCACCATTTTGGTTTGGAAATTTAGATTTTGGAGTTTTTGCCTTTTTGGACTATTGGCTATATATTTTTGTAAGTTTCTTGAAGACTTGGAGTCCATGTGATTATGGAAAATGGTTTCACTAAATTTACCATGATTTGAAGTTTTGAACATGTTTATTCTTAACATGCAATATGTTTGTATGAAAAAAGTAAGTTAAAATACATATAAATTCAAAAAATTACAAAATTAACACAAACATATGCATGTATGTGCATCTGGACAGCACATATATGCATATGTATGAAGACTTTTCACTACAGGATGCCCGATGTTCTAGGCATCTGCCTAGACGTGCCTAGGCGCTGGTGTTTTTTGAAACCTTGGTCGCAGCACTGCCAAAAGTGGAAGCAGCGACATAAAACGACATATCTGGAAACTATGTCCCCCTCTTAACCTCTTTTCATTGATACAGTCTCTCTTTCTTCATTACCAGTTTGTTTTGTCTCTTCTCCCCCTCTTGCCTCCCATTTCTCTGCAAGGAACTCTGTAACAACCTACCTATTGTAGGCTGAAAAGTCTTTTTATGTTTTTTTTAATACCCCATTTTTTGTTATAGATCACTCTCTTGTGGGGTTGCCTAAAGTTCTTTTTGTATCATAATTATGTGTCTACTACAAAGTTCACCATTCTCAAAGGAAAAAAATAAACTAAAAATTATTCAAAAATAAGGCAATTCTATGAATTCAAAATGATAAAAATAAAAGAAATTTACCTTTTCAAGTAAATCTCCTAGGTCCAAGATCTTCATGCTTGATGCAAATCAACACCTCCAAATCTCCTCAAAGCTTCCTTAGACAACTAAAACTACACCTCTAAACCAGTTATGGGTTTCTATTTCAGATTTGGGAGATACAAGCTCTTGAAATCAGTAGTAAATCCAAATCTTCAATCAATTAAATCATAATTTTTTGTGTCTTTTTGGAGGTAAACAAGTCTAAAAGTGGATGAAGATCACACAAATAGGCTTCACGGTCAAATTTTATTGAAATTGGACCATTCATATGAAGAAATTTAAAGAACACCCTTGGGCATTTACCCAAAAAAAAAAAATTAAACACCCTTGGACGAAATTTTCTCTCTCGAACTTATCAAATCTGAGGTTTTATCCCTCAAATCTAATATCCCTAATAGGAAGATGAAGCAAAAGGCAAAATTGGGGCTCAAAACACACTGCTAGGGCCAATAAACTTCAAAAAACTAAGGACCCCCCTAGTTCCTTTTTTTAAATGCAAAATGTACAGTTTTTGGGCAAAGTACTCTAGGCACTCACCAGAAAACTGTGAAACTCAGTGGGTTCGTACAGTAGTCGTCTAAGTACAGTACACTTTATGCACATAATTTGTAACCCCCACGGCAGGATCAGGCTAGTTGAGTTGGAGTTGCCGAGTTGCAAAACATAGTATACAATACATGGGACTTGTCCCCCTCACACCAAGAGTATTGAATGTGTATTTTGAGCAATATAGTGAGGAAACTTAGCCTTGTATAATCCTTTTTGTATGTTCTTTGTACATTAATACAACGGGTGAGGTACCCACTGAAACCTCACGCAAACTTAGCAAACTGAGCATCCATATTGTGTTTGTGTGTTTATCCCACCTAGGCATCAATTGGAATATTTCTGATGATGTGGTTTAAGAGATAAGTATCGACATCCTATATACTACAATATGGCATAGAATAAGTCTTACAAAACAAGAACAGGTCAAGTCAACCATCATTTGATCAATTTTAATATGCATGGTCGAAAGGAATCTCTAGTTTATTTATCAAATGCTAGACACAGTAGATATTGAAGCAAAATTTTTGGTGTTACACCTGTGCTCTAACCGACGCTATAAGTGATTTAAAACTCAATTTGTGTGCATGCTGATCCAAAAAGTTGAGAAAATTAATTCAGACTCATTACAACTTCTTTTATTAAGACAATAAATTTTGAATCTTTTTGAACCATATTAGCTGTACGGTATTCATTCAAGATTCTGAAGGTCAATATATGGAAGTTCCATACAATATAATGTCCAAGTGATGACAGAATAATGCAGTAATTTACCTTCAGAATTCTCCCAGGTATCATAAAGACCTGCAAATACAAGTGCCCGGCCATCCCTAAAATGTAGATAGTATGGCTGCTTCTTTGACCCATCCTTCTTCCACTCATAAAACCTACAACATTGCCATCACGCATAATAATGTGCAAAGAACAAAAGCAAAGCAAAAGTGAGCAATGCACAAAGTAAACTAGACAAGATTAAGCTCAAAGAAACTGCAAATCAGAAGCAACAATCATATTTTTACAAGAAATAAAGATCCAATTTTAATTTGTATGTGGAGAGTTAACAAACAAATAGAGAGAGAGAGAGAGAGAGAGAGAGACTCTCAAGGTCCAACAAAGCATGTTCTGCCACAAACACGTGCAGTATAACCCAGGAATTTGTGACATTTAGTTGAATCAGAACCTTGGGACACATGCACAAGTCAGGAAAATTTGTGCCAATAATACACCTTTTGACCATGAAATAAATGGGTGTGTCATTTTAGTCAATCAACACAACATGACCAATCATACCTGACAGCAACAAGGCGAGCCTTTAACAAGCTGATTAATCTTGGGTCCAATTTTATCTGTAGCGACAAGCTCATATATGTGTGTGGATAAACAAGTGTCCATGCACACTTCTGGAGAGTCACACCAATTATGTGTTCAGAGCACACTAATAATGAGGAAGTGTCCAGGCATGTCCAAAGGACCATGCTCTACAAATTAGTATATGGAAAAAGGCGATCTGGTGATTAACAGGAAATGTATTGTAAGAATCAAAGGGATAACGAGGCATATGAGATCACAACAGAGGTGTGTTAACAGGAAGCCCATTATTAAGGTAGTCTCTAAGTGTGTTTAAAGTATGGAACCAACAAGGTAGTCCTGCCCACAATATATCGAAATGACAAAAAAGGTCACAGTCAGAGCCAGTAGGGTTGATGTGTGTTTTTTGGAAGGGGGGTGGGAGAGAGAGAGAGAGAGAGAGGGTATAGGTTCCATGTGTCTGTGTGAGGCCTCGCATCAAACACTTGGAGGTCGTCTTCTTTTTTTTCTTCATATCTGTAGAGAGAGGGCTCCCATCAATTACTTGGAGGCCGTCTTCTTTACCTTTTCGGAGGTCGTCTTCTTTACCTTTTAATAGGTAGAGAGAGAGAGTATATCGATCCGTAAGAGATAGGAAACTCGCACAGAACACTTTGAGGCCGTTTGTCTTTTCTTCTTTATGTAGAGAGAGAGAGCATATAGGTCCATGTTGGTGATTGTATGTGTGAGAGAGGTAGAGAGGCCTCACATCGAATGCTTGGAGGTCGCCTTCTTTTTCTTTCTTCTTTTTATATCTAGACTCCAGAGAGAGAGAACATATGGGTTCATGAGAATGAGAGGCCCCATATCGAACAATTGGAGGTCATCTACTTTATCTTATATGTATAAAGAGAGAGAGAAAGCATATGAGTCCATATGTGTGAGAGGGAGAGAGGCCTCCCATCAAACACTTGGAGGTTGTCATCTTCTTTTTCTCTATGTAGTGAGAGAGCGAGAGAAGAGAAAGAGAGAGAGAGAGAGAGAGAGAGAGAGAGAGAGAGAGCATGTGAGTCTGAATGTGTGTGTCGAGAGAGAGGTGCTGCACATTAAACACTTGGAGCTCATGGCCAAAAGCCTTTGTTTTGGTCAAGGGCTCCATCAGGGTGCCTAGGTGGCAGCACAAATACATAAACGAATAGGGGCCTGACTAGGCCCTTTTTTGGTTCGGCCCGCTGCCTAGAGCAACTAGGTGGTTAGGCAGCCGAATTTTTCATCACTAATAAATTGGACATACCTTAAGAATTTAGCATAAACTAGATCTGTAGCCTTCCCCAATGTGTGAAAAACAACAAGAGCATAGATGCGTGTTGGAAGGAATAAGACAGTGTTTTTGAGGACTGGGGACTCATCCAAGTCAACTCGACACATGTATGTCTCAACTCTCGAATCTCTAAAACTTGGACAGCTCAGACCACATTTTAGGGACAATTTGGGTATGTTCAATGAAAACCAATTGAGCCTTGCATAGGACATCAGGAAGCCCCAAGCATTTTGTACGCATGTTCGGAATTTCCCAGCTAGCCACTAGATATTGGTGAAATGCGCTAGAAATCGAATGTTGTTTATATGAATCCTGATGGTTTTCAGACTCTCTCATGTGGGGTGGCTTCATCAGATTGTATGATTTCTATTCTATCACCATATATCTTCAACCCAAGTCCTAAATTCCTTATTGCACATCATCGTCCATCTCAATTATCTGTTCATTTCAGTTTGGCCTTGATCCATCATGTAATGGCACTTCTATTATCAACTCTATTCATTCTCTCAGCAGGCCCCCCAGGCATTGCACAAATATTGAAGTTGTGCGAAATGATTTGTGGCTAAAGGCAATGTGAGAACTTGCATTCAGGATGTGGTACACTTCCCAGAAGTAAAAACCCATTATGCTTGCAAGCATATATGTAATGAAAAGGGCCTAACACCTAGCACTTGGAATCATAATAAGTGCAAGAGTATAGTGCGAAGTATGGAATACTTGTTCCGGGTGCATGCTCCATAAGAAATCCTAGTCATCATTAAATCCTAGCCCTTCATCTTTAAAAATAAATTCAAACTTTAACGCTAAATTATCTACATAAAAAAAGACACAAATACTCAAAGGCAAATAAAAATAAAAAAATACCAAATAACCCCAAACACAAATTCACACTCCTAAGAAAAAATAACAAAATAAAAAAATTAGGGGAAAAAACTAGTTGTCATTCTCTTGGGTTTGGGAGAAGCTCGAGCTTGAGCTCAAGCTTGTAGACTCAAAAGTTGAATCAAAGACTCTCTTTTGTCACCATATAGGTATACCTCTAGGTGCTCATCTTCTTCATGGAGTTCATTGGTTTTTTTAGCCAAGTGTATTCCATCTCCCCTTTGGGCATTTACAAGCATGATAACCTTTTTCACAACACCAATAAGAAGTGACCCTGGAGGAACCCACTTCTACTTGTTTCTTGTTTTCTTCGTTAAATTTTGAATAGTGGGAAACCCCCTCTTGGGTTAATGAATCTCTTTTTAGTGCTCCAATATAACTTGGCCTCCACTCGTAGAACATATTGAAAAGCCTCGCGTAAGGTGCAGGGATAGTGCAGCAAACTTCATCCCTAATAACTGGTTAAAGCACTACCATTAGCAGCTTCCAAAAAAAGTAAAAATAAAAATAAAAATAAAGCTTCTTGGAACACATGGGCAACCTTTTTCCCTTCATTCTTTTGGAGATTGGTTCGAGCTTCCTCTCTACTTAGCACTCTCTACTTAGCACTCGTAATGTGGTCAGGCCAACCCATGGACCTCGCAAACTAGGTACAGGTTTAGGCTAGGCTCTAGACCTAGAGCAGGTATGGGTCTAAAATGAAAGTAGTGGCTATGTAGGATTCCCTGGGTGTAAATTCAAAAATTTTCTATTTTTCTTTTATTGACAACCAGGTAATTCTAATTACAATGCAAAACTATGGTGGAAGTAGAAAGCAAAACCTAAATACAACCTATGGATCTTAACTCTTACTACCTTAAAAGGAAAAAAACTTTTATTCACAAACTAGATCCAATTACAAGTAGAATTCTAAGTCAAATAAGAATCCTAATACAAATAGAAATCAAGAACCATAACTAAGAATTAAAACAAAAAATAAACAAGAAAAGCTAAGAAGACTTATCTGAACTTTGCCTAGGGTCACCACTATAAGACTTAGCACAACGCACACCCAATTACCAAACCGATGGCGCGCTGATCCTTGGCCCTACTTGAGTCTTCCAAATCTGGAAAGCACCTATGGCAATGCCCTCTCGCAAAATTGGGGATGAGGGCATAAATAAAGTAAGGTATTGTTTCATCCCTTAAAAGACTGAAACCACCACAGAAAATTAGGTTGGGTGTGGCTACTCTCAAGCTTGCTAGGGTGGTGTGCCATACTCTTTTCACCCTGCCTTACTAGGTGGGGCATCACCTATCTCAAGAGAGAAGAGGCTAGAGAGAGAAAGATGGAGAGAGAAAACTAGGGTGTGGATGGGATACAGAGAGAGAGAGGGGTCTCTACAAGAACATATGAGGTGGTTCTCCCCTTTATATAGGCGTCATGGCCTAGAGTAAGCCAAATTCTAATGAGACTCAAATTTAGCCAAGGAGTCTAAGTAACCTGTGAGTTGAAGAGAGCATTGTTTTCAGCCATCCATTCCTTAGATCAGCCATCACGATCAAGGAAGAATCCTATAACCATTATCCCTCAAATCCTTGGCCCATATCCACTTCCATTCAAACTAGAATTTGATATTCCATAGTCCCACATAATTAGGACTCTTTTCTTATAGAAATACTTCTAATTTCATTAGAAATTCAAAGGCAAAGTAGAAATTCAAAGGCAAAGTAGAAGGTCTAATTCCAATTAATTTTCTGGGTCAAATATTCTCATAACCAACTAAATATTATATTAAAGATTTTCTTTAAGAATATTGTCCATAACAAATAGTGTAAAAATATGGGCATCCCACTCTATGGGATGGACGTGTGGTCCTAGTGGGTCCACGCCCTCCACAATGTAGGGCACCCAATGTGTGGAGCTAGGCCCTTTGCCCCCCAAATGGGTCCCACAAAGCCCCTCACAAATGGCCATTTAAAGGCCTTACGAGAGCAAGTAAAGAATTTTATGATAATGGAACAACGAACTCCAATGGGGGTATGGTCTAGAGGGGCCGAAGTTGGCAATTCTGATGTCGAAACTCAAACTAGGCTTGACGAGCTAAGCCAAGTTGAGTTATAAAATCCAATGATACCTAGGAATATAACACAACCAAGAAGGGTTAGTAGGGTTACCCCTTGATGAAGTCAGAAAGATGCTTAGGGTAGTTAGCCAAGGGACTTTGTGACTCTTATGTATGATTGGTAGGTCTGAAGGGACGAGGGCCGAATCCTCATTATAACCACTACACTGCATATACATATGACAGTTGTTTTGGGAAGTACACACCATTGAGGATGTTGCATATACATGGGCGAGAGATAGCCCCCATGCACCAATTGCGATGTGTGTGGATCGATCTGTGTGACCTAGGCTTATTCCTATGGGGAACCTGCAGTCCATAGACTAGGATTGTGTTCTTATCACCTACTCGTTGGCTTTGGTAGTCCAATCATGCATGCCTATGATGGACTGTGGGTTATGAGCACTATTGGGTCAGTTTGAGAAGTGAGTGTGGAACATAGTCACTAGTAGAAATGGAGTGCCTCAATATTTTCGCTTTTTCCTTAGCGAAGTTAGATCCGATTCCTATCAAATTAATTTACAAATAATTAATTTGGTTATAAATAATTTTTAGAATATTAAAATATATTTTTAGAAGTCTCTGGATATTTTATTTCATCAAAAATGATTTTTAAATAAGCTAAACTGAATTTTCTGGTATTTAAATATTCAGAGAAGAAATAACATATCTATCCTTTTTAAAAATCATTAATTGTTATTAAAATATATAGGGGCCCATTATACTTTATGGGCCTCACCATTCCATTTTGGTGAGGCCGTGGGGCCCACTAGTGCCCATGGAGTGGCACACCCCACTTTTCTCCTTCTCTTTCCTTTTGTGTTGGCTTATGTCATAAACCATTCAATTAATTGAAATGAGATAGGAAAGTTTTTGAAAGGAGGCTAATTGATTTTCAAAAGAAGCATGTATAAGAGATTGATTGAAAAAAGAGGTAAGTATATTTATTTCTTCTTTACACTAAAAATTTGATGGGATTAGGTTAAGGAAGCTGAGGGGTAAGGTTGTAGCATTTTTCATTAGACCATGATGGCTGATCTATGGATTGTATGGCTAAGATGTCTCACCCCACGGGTCACCTTTGATCAATAGTCTAGATGAAATCTTCATAAGGATGGCTAAACCCTAACCCTAGCCTCATCTTTATAAAATCCTTTATTGGGGGGGTCATCTCTCAGTATCACAACCTAGAGCTCTCTCTCTCTCCTCAAGGTGGCACACCACCCTCTCTCACCTCTCTCTATATTCCTCTCTCTCATACTCATACTCTCTAAGAAAAATAGAGGGGACACGCCGCATTGAAACCTCCATAGAGGGGGCACGTCCCACACAGAGAAACAAGAAGAAAGCCCTTATTTGTTCCACTTGCTCTCATATCCATAGAAGGGTTTCTAGCCAAAGCTTCCCAACTTGGTGAGATCTAAGAAAGACCTTGATCCCGTCGACCATAGGTGGAGGAGACCCAGTGTGGAGTGTGCAAAGTCCAATTGAAGTAATCTTTTGGCATCTTATTTATTTTAATGCATTATCATGTTTCTTAATCCCAAGTTCAAGTTGATGTAATTTTGGTTATGTAATGAAATGTTGTTAAAGTGACAACAAGTGAGAATCCAAATTTGAGTTTTTATTTATTTATTTGAGTTCTTATTGTAATCTTTGGACTTATGTAAGTGTTCTAGCTGGTTCAAAAAAGAAAATTTTAAACTTTATAGACCGTGCTAGTTCACATCGTCCACTTTAAAAGATACCATTTTAGGAGTTTTTGTGCATAAAAGTATTTACAAAAATTCTTAAAATTATATAAAAATCACATAATCATAAATAAAGTTTGAAAATAAATCCTGACATTCCAAAAATTTTGAAACGAATATAATATAAAACTAGAAGTAGATTGGTACCAATGGGTCAGGAACAAGTCACATTTCAAAGGCACTCCACCTATGCTAGACTCCATGATCCACGATTTCCTCAAACTAACCCCATGGAAGCCAAACCCACAATCAATTGCAAGGGCTCATAATTGGTCCATCAAAGCTGGCTAATAAATCGCAGAACCGCGATCTTAGTGTGCAGATTATTGGTTCCTCCTAAGAGCAAGTCATATCCATAAGGATGCACATACGCACATATTACTATAGGGCACAAGGGTCAGTCTCTTATACACATATGCCCGATTCCCTCTACATAAGGCTGCTTCTTAGAATGCAACTCTCGTGTTTATATGCCATGCAGTGGTTGTTGAGGATTTGCCCCTTAGCCTTATAGGCCCGCAACTGCACACAAGTATCCCAACTGTTTCCTAGCTTTCATTATCATCCCTGAGCATCTCTCCGACCTCAATAAGACATGACCCACTAAAACCCTCAATGGTTGTGCCTATGCTTAAGAGTAAGGATTTTGGACATGACCTAGGTCATAGGCCACCCAACCCAAGGTCAGTCATCCAACATTCCCACTGGAGTGTGAACACCCACTATAAATTGTTTATTTTACATGCTCTCAAGGCTTTTAAAGGCCACAAACTCCAACATCTCTCATTTGGTGTTTGAAGCCATACACTCACTCTATCTCATTGTCTCTCGAGCCCATCCCTTACATGCTTGGCAAACACATTTGCCACCAATCCTTTCGTCCAAGGATCTGCTAACATACCCTCTATTGCGATAAAAGCGACCTCAACCTCTCTTGTTCAAATCTCGTTGCACACGTGGTAATAGTCCGCCTTCATGTGCCTGGATTTCTTAGAAAACCATGGCTCCCTTAGCCACTCAATGTGGCCTGGTTGTTGTAGAAGATCCTCACACATGGGCACTTATTGTATCAAATTTGAGTTGATTTAGGATCACTTGTCCCTCTCCCTTTAATTTTTCTCTTCTTTTTTCTTTAAAGGGTTGGAGAACAAGAGAGAGAGGGAAAAAGAGAGAGAGAGAGAGAGAGAGAGAGAGAGAGAAGA